TGGTCTGAACCAAGATAAAAGAAAATTGTTTTCTTTTCTTTAATATGAAACGAAGAAAAAAACGATTAAGGAAAAAAAAGACATTTCGTCCTTTCCACACGCATTTACATACACACGGTTTTTTAGAAGAAAAAAAAAAGAAAAAAAGGAAAAAAAAAAAGAAGCAAATGAAATCGAAACGAAAATATCTTGGTCTCGTTTCCGCGCCAATTTGTCCAAGAAGTGTTTTCCTGTTTCTTTTCGAGTAGCAAAAAAGAACGGAAATTGTTTGCACATTGGCCACTTCTGGAAACGTTCGGATTAAGAGAAAAGCAATGTGTCCACTCGGTACCAATTTGGCTTTTTGTTTTGCTTCTTTTTTTCTTTACTTTACTTTACTTTTCTTTTCTTTTCTTTTCTTTCTTTTCTTTCTTTCTTTCTTTCTTTCTTCATTTTTCACTTGTTTTCTTTTTTACTTCTTTCTACATTCCAACTTGTCCATCCCAATTTTTTTTTGTTTCCTTCCCTTTTCCAGTTTCCTCTTCCCCCTCCCTCCCTCTCTCTCTCTCTCTCTCTTTCTCTCTGATTATTTTGCTTCAAAATCGATCTCCCTTCATTTGTCCAATCATTTCGCCCACTTTTTTTTTCATTCTTTCTACCTTTCCTGCTTCTCTGCATATTCTGCGCTCCTTTTCTTCTTTTCCTTCTTTTTTTTCTTCTTGTCTTTTTCTTTTTACTTCTTTCTCTTTTTCTACATCTGCTTCCTTTTCTACAACCTTTATCTCCCTTTATTGGGCTGTTCCTCTTTTACCTAATTCTTCATTTTTATAGCAGGTAATTCTATAGTCGAAAATCAAGAGACCCTCTCGATTATAATAATTATATAAATAGACTTGATTATGTAAGAAAATTGAATAAGAACATACCAGAGACTATCCTTGTAAAAACTAAAATATGAGATGAATGGATTTGATTGCGCAAAGGACATCTTATGCGAGAAAGTGAATCCATATCGCCGATGGCTCATAACAATTTGTTTTAAAAAAGTATGCCAGTGTTAAGATAGACAAGACACACTAATAAAAGTCCACCGTGATTCGTAAAATAAGTGAATACATCAAGTTGGCTCAGACATGACTCAGTAGGAAAGGTGATTGACTCAGAATTGTGCAACCAACTCGAATGTAAGCATGCAAACGAAAATGGTAAATGTACATTTTTTTTTTAAATTTGGAAATTCTTTCAAATTACCCGATTCAGGGCAAGAGAAAAAAGTCATTATGAACAAAACACTTTGTCAGGTAGTAGATACCAATGTTACTTGCTACTAAGCTGGTGGATTAGAAATAAAGAACAGACATCTAACAAGATATGAACTCAGATTATTTATCATCGGAAAACTACCTGTTCGTGACAGCTGTCTCACTGGTTAGGCTACAAAGACTATCCACTTAATAACAATCATATTATGTCGGATCGAGTATTGAAATAAAAGCAACATGAATTCTAGCTAATAATTCAAAATAAGTTTGTTTAATAAATTTAAATAATATCACGCGTAAAACTAATGCATGTAAACAAAAATAGCAGTATATTAGGCGTGAAGAATAAAAACTAGGATTACATTTGAGTTGAAGTAACAATGACATACTCATTCGGAATATTTACCTGGCACCTGTGCTCCGGTCCTGTTGCTGGTAGTATCACTGCTATGACTAGCTTAGACCGGCTCTGACCAGCTTGGACAAGCTATGACCAGCTAAAGCCAGCTTAGACCAGTGGCCCGAGTGTTTCCACTCGGGTTCCCCACGTTAAAACCGACCTTGTGTCACATCCTGTCTCAGTGGGGCGTCAAGTAAATATTCATACTCATTCGAAATAATGTTGAGATTCAAAACTCTTAAATGTGACTCATTAAAAACCTCTCTCATGATCGAAGATCCAACACTTCATCAAACTTTTTACAAATCTCACAATGAATTGATTCAGATAACTGAACAAAAATATCAATAAACCGAAGTTTAAGATGGAATATACGAAAACATTTTTCGAAATCTATAACGAGGCTAAATGGAAGAATATTTCTGTTGCTATTATTTTTCTACACAAAGATATTTAACAGTGCTTTCTTTTCATTTCTACTTCACAACCAAACAATCCAAATGTGCAAATATCTGACTCATTGCTTTTAATCGGTTGGCACAAAAGTTTCTAACGTTATTGAACAAAATATTTTATTTGTATGAATTCATAGCATTATTATTCAATCATCAAAGCATTTTTGTGCTCTTTATTTTCTGTAAAATTGTGTATTCGTCATAAAAGAACAATCCTGGTTTTGATTCGAGGAATTATTCGTTATCTTTAAATTGTTGGAACCAGTAAACAGGCAAAGAATATTGTATAGGGTGAAAAACGTGATAATCTGAAAGTGATATGTCTGGAGAATAAACCATATTCCATAATTGTTGTGTCGTACTTGCGATTTTTAAGTCATGCAGCAAAATTGGTGGTCGGCTTCTGGTGTCCAAATAAAGCTGGTACCTGTTTAATTCTTCAGCACTTGTTCACAGTAACATTGCTCAGGATATAGTTTCCAACCATTCGTGAAGAACATTTTCTCGAATTCGATTCACAGAGGTTGAAGTCTGTCCTGAATCATTATCTTCGTTTTGGAATCTCGCAATGAATACATTTTTCGACATCAGTGACAATCTTGTCTAAAAATTATATTTTTCTTCGTTGAACACGTTTTGAAAGACAAGTAATTAAATACGGTTCAATGTTCGCCGCCATAAATTCATGTAGAACCCATATTCCAAGCTTCAAATTTTCAACGATGCAATACCGTTGTCTGATTGCAAATGAATAGAAAGATGATCATACTTAATAGAAGATTCGTAGGAATTTTTTTAACACTCTACAAAAGATGATGCTGGAAAATGTTGCATTTACATTATATCTACATATCCTTGCTAAATACATGAAATGTTTTTCTTCAGCAATAAAAGAGGTTACAAAATATAAGAAATCACCATATTATATTTTCGTAAATTATTTGGAAGCTTAAAAAGCATATCGGCCGAAAAAGTCGTCATGATTTTTTTTAAATGAAATATCTTTTCTAAAATGATTTTTTCTTCTATGGGCACATTGATTTAAAAAATAACCTTGTCATTCTCACCAGCATTCAGTGTTCGAAACGAAGCAAAAGCTACGACGCGAATATCTATTTACAACAAATTTGTAGGTCTCTGAAGAGCAGAGTATCTTTATAAATCTAACACTTCCAAAGATGTTCACAAATGGTACACAAAGGTTGTTGGTTGTTTGGAACAGTACACAGAAATGAACTCTGGTACCCCACGCCCCCACCAACACCAAATCATAAACTTTCAGGTAAAAATAACATTTCAAAGTAAATGTTAAGTTGAAATCACTTTCAGATTCAAGCTGCCATATATTTAATAAACTTTCCTTAGTAAATAATTATATATATATATATATATATATATATATATATATATATATATATATATATATATATATATATATGTTAGATCTATCACTGATATTGAGCGCTTTCCAATAAGTACCATGCATAATGAATATATAAAAATATATATAGAAATTACATACACACACACACACACACACACACACAAACATATATATATATATATATATATATATATATTAATACACGTTTCATTAAATAATATAGACAAATTGTCTATTTATTTTATGTAAATTTTTTTCGTAACATCTGATAAGTTTAATAACATTATCGTTGAACGAAGAAAGAAATTCACAATATTGATCCATATTTTTTTAATATAATCTAAGCTTTCGGCTTACTTAAGCCATTATTAAAGATGTCAATTACAACATATTAAACAATATACGGACAAGACAGTGATGATAGTCTGTCAATGTTTACATAGATGATTTCTAAGCAACGATAAACACGCGCATATAAGACGCTAGAAGCGAAAATCGTACCGCATCTCAGACGCCACACATGACCACACGAGAGTGAATTGGAGAATGAAGTATGGAAATCCGTTGGTATAAACCAATGGCTTCTGTTACCAATTATAGACATTTAAGAATATTTGTAGAGATGCCATAATTGATTTTGTTTAGGTTGGGTTTCAACTGTTTGATGTATAATGCTTCAAGTATTTTTAGTTTTTGTCTATTGTTTTCATGTCGAAGTATAATTGTGTTTTCGACAAGTATTTTACGGAATTGTGTGTGCGGGCAGGCATGTTGTTTTAATTGCCTAAAAATGTTAGAGTTTTCATTAAAATGTAGTGTCAAGCGTCGTGAAAGCGAGTTTGTGGTGTGACCAACATAAATATTATTTAATTCGTTGGAGATACACTCTCCCAAAGGGCACTTGAATTTATAAACTATGTTGGTTTTTTGCAAATCGCTAACCGGGGAAGAAGAATCATTGCGAAGAATTAAGTTGGATATAGTAGATTTAGTGTAGTATATGATTAATTTAATATTTTTGCTAGGGTCTGTAGTTGATATATTAGAATTTACTAAATTTTTTAGTATATTTTCATCTTGTTTATAATTAGTATGCATTTGATTACGATATAGGAGATTAATATATTTGAGATTAGTAGAAGCAGCATTATGTACAATTTGCTTATTATTGAGATTTCTAAGAAAGCATCTTATTTGTTCATCAACTATATAGTTTGGAAAGCTATTATTAATAAGTGTCTGTTTTATATTCTTTAGTTCACTGTAAAAAATCTGTTTTGTGGATGAATTAGTTTCTGCACGATGTATTAGATTCTTTATAATTGCTATTTTGTAGTAATATGGGCATTCTTCTTCTTCTTCTTCTTCTTCTTCTTCTTCTTCTTCTTCTTCTTCTTCTCTAATCTGACCACCGCTTTATTTATAACAAAGGAAAAAGAAAATGAAAAAATGTAGATATGATTATCTGCGTTTGAAAAGGAAAAAAAAGAAAGAAAAGTGCTAAGATAGAGAGGTACCCATTACTGAAATGGCAAACAAAAGAAAATAGAGGAAAAAAACAAAGAGGATAAAAATACACAGGGGCGGTGTATGAAAAAGACAGTGAAAGAGATAGAGAGAAAGAGGGAGATAGAGAGAGATATACCTTCTTCAAAGAGAGAAAGCGAGAGAGAGAGAAAAATGTAAAGGGGAAGACAGATAAAAAACGAATGATTGTAAAGAAAAGAGAAAGAAAATAGGGAAAAGCATGAAAGAGAGGGTGAAAACAGACAGACAGATGATTTTTTTGTTTTTTTATGAAAGGAAAGATATGAAAGAAAATAAAAGTAGAAAAAGACATGAGCGAATATCCGCATCAGAAAGAAAAAAAGAAGCAACAATTGATAGACAGAAAAATAGGTGCCTAGAAAAGTGAGTGAGAGAGAGAGAGAGAGAAACAGAAGTAAAGAGACAAAAAGAAAGGAAAAAGAAAAAGAGAGACAAATTGATCCCTGCTGCGTAAAGAAAAAAACAAGAGAGAAAGAGAGAGAAAGGAGAATTATAAACAGACAGAAAGACAAATGCCTACAATAGAAAGAGAAATAAAAGGAAAGGAATAAAAAGTAGAGAAAGAAAGAAAAAATGTAAGAAAGAGGTGTCGAGATGCAGAGAAACAGGTTTTCGCTTATATATATATATATATATTTAGAGAGAGAGAGAGAGAGAAAGACAGACAGAAAAAGAAAGAAAGGGAAGAAAAGAGAAAGAGAGGGTAACAGCGTGAAAAATAATCGTGAAAGAGAGTCAGGAAAATGAGAGAGGGATTCCTTCCGCAAAGGAACCATGTGTTCACGTTAAACTAATATACAACACGCAAGAAATATTTGATATCCTTTAGCAGGAATCTTTTTGAAAAAGAAAAATTGTGTGATGGGGAGAGAAAACTTTACCCACCCAACACATTCACCCCATACAAAATACATCCCAGATTTCCTGAGCGTTTACATAGCCATGCCTAACACAGAATCTACAAGCGAACCTACAGGGAGAGCAAAAATTTCCTTGACAAAATTTTATGTTTCAATGTTGTTCTCACGACAAATACTGTGATTTTTCTCAACGTTTTTTTAGGTATGTATTTCCATATTTATGTTTATATCTCATCATAACAATGTTTAAAAGCCAATTTCTGATCTCTAATATTTCTTTAGCCAGTTTATATAACTCATTTACTTCATTACTTACACTTTTTACATTGGGCGGAATGTTGTCCTCATCTTCACTATCATATTGACGACGTTTCGGCCGTTGTACGCCCCGGCCTTCTTCAGTGAAATATAAATCAAAAAACGTAACTCAAGAAAATATTAACGACATTTTAATTATGTCTCTTTAGACATTGACATTAATTTTTGCTGCAATGATAATTATTTTGTAAAAATGGAAACCCTAATTGATATTTACGATCAGTTAAATGTCGGTCTCGGGCCCATACTTAAAGTTGCAGATATGCTCGTTGGTAAATTATAAAACCATAATTTAAAAAAGAAATGGGCATATCAATGATCATTAGGTTGAAATCTTTGCTACATTAAAAAAATATGATTGGAGCAGATCTTAAACTAACATGTAAAATTATTCGCTATTTGCCTCAAAATATTACATTACATTTATATAGTATCTTGACATTCAAGTGAGTTAAGATATTAACATATAATAATATAAGGAAACATTTAGCATTCACTAACCGATCAGCCAGTACTGTTATCGGTTGAAATTTATAAAAATCTTTCTCTTAAAACATTTTTTCAGCAAAATAGGTTTCTCAAGTTCATTAGCTGTTATCGCTCTTTCCAGTAATGATGGGGATTTCCTTTCTAACCTTTTGTTTGAAGTAGTGTGTAATATTAACATCTTGTTCATGTCATTATTCTCTTCGAGTTATATTTGATATCCATTTTGGCTGTTGCTGCTGTCTCGATTGATGTTTTTTTTCTGTTATTTTGTACAGTTCTTTGCTCGTGATTCTGTAGCGTCAGTTCACAATATTCAAAAAAAGATGGTATTTTCCCAAAACCTCAGGCGTCACTCGCTCAAAGCATTAACCATTGATCTTAAAAAGCGATTATATACATCTAACAGATTAGATATTTCTGAACGGATTTGGCACTATTCATGATGGTCCATATGAAAGTCTCGATCGGACGAAGCTATTTAAAAACATGGCTTGAGTTTTCCGCTTAATGTTTTGGTTTTGTAACAAATTGAGGTATTGGGCGAAACTGCCTCTAGCGCAGCCTATCCTATGTTCCATTTCATTATCTCCTAAACTGAAGTGTTGAATATTTACTAACTCCACATCCTGGATTTTTGCCATAGTTTCAGGATAGGTGTTATCACTGCTTTTCATTCCAATTCCAGATCATATTTTCTGTTTTGAAAAGATTTATCGTGCGTCTTATTTCTTGGAACACTTAGTAGAGGGTCCTGATTTTCTGTTCAAGATAATTCTTATCTCAACCATGAATATCTATGTCATCAGCATGAGTGGGGGTGATGCTATGCTGATGACATAGTACATTGTACATTGGCCTCGGGATGGAATACAGGATTGTTGTCTTCTATTGTTAGTTTCGCTTGGAATGTGGTTTGAGATGCTTAAAGGATCAGTGCTCATCTCTTCTCATCTAAGTTTGTAAAAGCATAGGGCATAGTCGAGGAAAAGATTAAATAGACTGTGGCTCTCATTTCCTCCTTGTACTCATGATGAGGTTTAAAATATCCGTATTAGGGTCCTCGTTAGATATATAGACTGACACAGTTCCTCTGTTAGATCAATACATTCAGTGGATTCGGAAGTTGGAAGGCGGCTTCTTATGGATAAGACGATGAAGTCTCTATTGATACCGTCATATGTCAAGATGTCGACACAATTTCCTACTAGAGAGATGAGCAATTTTTTGGAGTTATTTGATGCCATCATTACATACGTTACCAGAAAACATGTTATATTGCCTCCCGTCCTGAGTTAGACGATAAACTACATCCTCGGGAGGTTTTGAGGAGCGTGGAAGAACCTCTTAATTGCTGGTGTTCCCAGGTCTACCCTGACCCGGGGTGGTAGCACCTGTTAAGGTTCCAGCTGTGGGTAAATAGTTAACCCCCAAATTGGGGTCAAAACACTATGAAAGTGTAAAAATAGGTTTTAATACCAGAAATACTTAGTAAAAAATTATTACCTACAATACATTTTTGAAAAAAAAAATATTACCAGCAATACATTTTTTAAAAAAGTAAAAAAAATATTACCAGCAATACATTTTTCAAAAACTAATATTACCAGCGAAGGAAAATTATTACCAGAAATAGATTTTTGGAAAGAAAATATTACCAACAATGAAAATTTTGTCGACATTAAATAAACCATTGTGATTAACATACCGTAAAACAAACCAAACCAATCTACAACCGCCTCATTAATTTCATTTGCAATTTTCTGGATATATTGGTTTCTCAAAGAATTAACTAATTTTTTTTTTATCTTTGTTAATTGTTTTCCATTTTCCTTTTGTCTGTTTCTTTCTTGATTCAATTTTTCAATTAAAGATTGTCGTCCCATGGATCTTTTCCCTTATAGATATCATTGGAATACAGTATTTACATTGGAATAGTTTCACACGCTATTTGATTCCTGTATGTTTTTAGCAAGATTTATTGATATCAATTTAGACTCTAGTTTATTACTGAATTCTAAATATATCCTTTCATTTTTTAAGGGCTTCGATGTTTATATCACGACGTTTTTTGTAGTTTATGTTTGTTCTGTTATTGTTCATCTACTTTTTACTTTAGTACATTTTTTACTGATCACTGGGTTCCAAAGAAATTTAGGCAAGAATAAAATTAGGGGTTCTAACTTAATTTTTGCGTGCTGATTTCACATATGAATTCTGTTTTCATTCATAACCTCTAGTTTTTGAGATATACATTTATACATATACATAAAATGCATACATGTACATACATTCAAGGATGGCAGGTGTGCCCTATTTAGGACAATGTATTGTTTTTTTTTATTATTATTTAAAATTTTAGGAATTGTATTCTTCTTTAAAACACTAACATAATGACCGCATAAGCTCGTCCCCGCGGGCTTGGTTTCATTGCGGCGAAATGAAATCCTCTTCAAATTCGAATGCCTGGTACGCATAGACGTAACCTTATATAGGATCAAAGTTTATGTTGTTTTCTATATTTTTGTGAGCTAATCCATATTTTACAATAGCTTCAGTCACGTCAAAACACCGAGCATGCATAAACAAGGCAAATTAATTATGTTACGTGTGTAGGGAATTCACAAAAGTTGCACTGAACCGAACAATTACACCTCTCTTGAGAACGGCTTACTTTCATTATTTTGACTGTAAAATTGGAGATCAAGATAAATCCTGAGCCCGCACATCTGTTGTAAACACTGTTACAATGGACCAACTGCATAGTTTCATGATAAGAAAGCATCCCTCAACTTTGCTGTTCCGATAGACTGGAGAGAGCAACAAAGCCATACAAATGATTGTTATTTTTATCTAATAAATACAACTGGTTTCACTGCTTCTCCCAAAAAAGAATTTCAATCTTTCTTCAGCTACAAGACCTGTTCCTCACTCAGATGATCTTCTTGTCCCTAAACCCCCATTAAATAAAGATCTTATTCGTTCATCATATGAAAAATTTTCTTTAGAGAAAAATGCTACCAAATCGGTCTCTTCTGAAGACAATATCAATGTTCTTCAGGAGAAAGTGGCGGTGAGCCTCAATGGATGAAGACCTGAATGACGTTACCAGTGATTTATACCTATTTAAGCAGCAGTCAGTGCTACTCGCATCACGGCATAAGCAGTGGAAACTGGTCACGGCAGATGTAATGATCACCTATTTCAGGACATGATTCAAGGACTTCACCCCATCCTTTGATATGGACAACAGGCTGTCTACAGCAGAGCTTCTTAAATGAACTGAGAAGCACTTAAGTCACTTTGCTATGTCTTCCTTGGTAATACGCAGGTACCAGATTACCAAGAGTGTATCGAGATGGCTTGTGAGGATATGGGATACTGAATGTCAATCAAAATTCCCTTTCTTCCCTCCCACATTTAATTTCTTCCGTCTGAACCTCAGAGCAGTGAGTGATGAGCATGGAGAAAGATTCCATCAAGATATTATTAAAAAGAAACTACCAAGGAAAGTGAAACCTCAACATGGCTTCCACTGGATGATCCTGCCTCACATACCGGATGCAAAGTGCACGAGATCGTCCAAAACAAAATCACTTGTGACTGATGTACTATGAATTGTATGTGTGGCATTATCCAAGTAATTTAGTTCCGTCAATGATCTGTATCTATGCTGTTGTATTTGTAATATTCCTTTGTAATAGATAAAATAAACGCATTATATTTTGAATTTAGGTGCATTATAATAATGTGATATATGAAGGCAGAAAACTCGAGGTGATAGAGCAAAGCTAAAAAATTATTATAAAACACTTCTTCACGTGCTTACCTCAGAGAATTAAAACCAGTGAATTGACTTTATACTGAGCTGCTTGTAAAACTTTATTTGTTCAGTAAGATATTAGTATAATCCATAACATCTACTGCAAGTACGTTGGCATGGAATTTGGGACATCGAAGGGCGTTGTGCTGACGATGAAGCGATGGCAAAAGAGTAGCTTGTACAGGAATTACCAACAGAAGGAACCACTGCTGACACAGAAGAAACAGGATACAAATATTCTAGGGTTGGACAGATGAAATAACTGATTATATGAAAAGGCGAGCTTTTCTTCTCAAGTTCAAGATGAGTGTTCGTAATCTTATAAATGCTATTAATGCATGTACTATATCCGTGATAATGTATAGTAAGGAAGTCGCTAAATGGACAAAGGAGAATTTGCAAACTCTGGACACACAGGCCTGAACACAACTTTTTGAGAATGGTGCCCTGCATCAAAAGTCAAATGTGATAAGATTATACACTCCACGAGAAGAAGAAGAAGAAGAAGAAGAAGAAGAAGAAGAAGAAGAAGAAGAAGGAGGAGGAGGAGGAGGAGGAGGCCTTATCGATATTGAAGTTTGTGTGGGAAGTGGATATAGGTTGTTGGAATAAAAACATGGTAAACAGCGAAGAGACACACCTAAAGGTACTCGTGGCAAAACCCAAAAGCCTTTTAAAAAAGAGAATATAACGAAGAAATATCAATACAGGAAGAGGACAGTGAAAGAGAAACTAAAAGCAAGAGAATCAATGCCCTTTCATGGACATTTTGAGAAGGACATCAAGGGCATTAAGGCAAAATATTAGTTGGATTGGTTGACGAAAGGCGAAACTTAAAGGCGACTAGTAGCCACCCGAGACCAAGCTCTGAATACTTATTCGGTCCGAAAGAACATCTACCACCAAGTGGATTTCTTTTGTTTTGCCCTAATTGAAGTTTTTTTCCTTAACGACCGAAAATTAATTCCACCTAAAATGTTGTGATGAAAAGCAATAATAAAATAATGAAAATAATTAATCTGGTTATTTAGAAAAGTTTAAGCCTATCATTAGGCAGTAAAACAAAAACATTATTGCATGAAGATCTGATGTGAAAAGGTGGCTGTGTTATTGCAGATTTGTTACATGCAACCATTGGCTTCTGTAACAACATTGTTAAGGCCTCTTCTGTTTTCTAAAAGAAAACGAATATATGTGATACTAGTTTAAGTTTTGTAGCATTCCATTTATTTATTCCTACTTCTTACTTAATAATTGAAGGGTATTTGACCAAGAAAATTTTAGGATTAAGAAAAGATTGGCTAAAAATTAATAATATATGAGTAACATATCATTCGGATAGCGAGATTAAGTAGTTCATAATACTATTAACTAATTTACCAAATACATATTTAATAATGATTTTTTAATTATTATGTTGTACTTAATGATTTGATGCTGTAAATGCATATTGCATCATTTATTATTATAATCTGACTATGATACTGTGGCATCTCGCTTCATTTTTGGTTTTTTACTCGTATTTCTTTCATCTTAATTTCAGTTCCATTTTATCGCAACTCTCACACAGTCATTCCTCGGATGTTAGTAAGCAACACAAATCCAAAATAAAAAATACTACGTTTTTCTTTTGTATCTGCAAATAAGTGCAACTTATCATTTATATGACAGTAATTGAATTATTATTATTCATTTAGTGATAACACCCTTAAAGTTAATCGTTATTTTCTGTCTTCTTAAAATTTTGTTGTTTTATTGTCCTCTCTGATAAATAGTAATTTTTCTCATATTCTCTAACACTTAGTAAACCTTTGCGACTTAGTGGCTTTATTAGCTTTTTGAGGTGAAATGTTAAAAAGTAATAAAAAAACTAGGCCTTCGGTGAAACTCGAAATCACGTCCATTTTTGCCCTAGGAAGTTTGTCTTAATTTGTCAAGTTTCCGATTGCAGCCTTTCAAGTTTAACTATAAAGATATTTATACGCAGCTATCTTTATTTACAGCTTCACATAGTAACATTGGTTTCTGGACGTCGCCATACAGTACGTCATGTAAAAAAGAAAGAAAATGTTCAGTCTATTAAAAATATATTTGATTCAAGGAATATGACGACATATCATGTGGTCAGAGAAAATAAGAAATGGCTATATAGTTAGAGGTGACTGATTTCAGTTAGAACAGATTATAACCTAATTGGTAATGCCGCTGTCGCGTTAGTAAAGAAAAAAGAAATGCGAGTTTGAATGCTTTTTCAGGCACATTAATCATTTCTACTGCTTACTAACGATCGTGGAATGACGATCTGAGAGGTGCAATAAAAAACAACTGAAATCAAGTTGGAAGAAAAATAATGAAAAAGTTATAATCATTGACAATGCTTAACGCTAACAAATTCAAAACAATAACATTACTATAAGTGTTCAAAATAGCCTATACTGCAGTAATAGTAGTAGTAGTAGTCTAATAGTCGTAGTAGAAATAAGAGGCGTAGTAATGAAAACAACAGTAGCAGGGTAGAGTTGTAATTAGCTTTATATATTTTGCAGGTGTGGACCAAAGTATATCAGTGTAGTGCATCAGATATTGCACTTCCAAACATATGTCAGCCATTGTACACCGCTGGTTTCGATGGGCAGGCTTGGTGTATGAAGGGTGGGTATGAAGGGTGTGGCTATGGAAAGGGGAAGAGAAAAACAGAAATGCTATTTTCAAAGACCCCTTTATGTTGTTTAATTTTTTTTATTTTTGCCTTCTTTCCCCACAAAGGATTTTTTAAAGATTTGGTATCAAGACTAGGTGGCAGGAAAAGGGGGTTTGAGGAATATAGAGCACATGAAATGGAAGTACAGTAGATACAAGATGGCCGATCAGACGACAACAACGACCTTGTAGGATAGCATTTATTGGGAAAGTGGAAAACAGGAAGAACAACAACGAAAGGAAAGAAAAGCATTAAAAGAACACCGAAAAGAAAGAAAGAAAGAAAGAAAGAAAGAAAGAAAAATCACCTGAAAAAGAAAGTGAATTTGTGGGATAGCATTTATTGGGAAAGGAAAAATAGGAGAGAAAAAAAGGAAGAAGAACAACGAAAGGAAGAAGAAAAAACAAATGGACGCCGAAAAGAAGAAAGTAACAATGAAATAAAAAGAAAGACAACGAAAATCAGAAGAGAGGAAAGAAAAAAATAGCAAGGGACGAAAGAAGGAATAAAGAAAAAGAGAGCAGGAAGGAAAAAGGGGAAAAGAAAGAAAAGGATGGAAGGAAGAAATAAAGAAAAGGAAAGAAAGAAAAAAGGAGAGAAAAAAGAAAGGAGAGAAAAAAGAAAGAAGAGAAATAAAAAGGGTGACGTAAATAAATAAATAAAGAAAGAAAGAAAGAAAGAAAGATTGGAAAAGAATAAACAAGGATGAAAATAAAGAAATGCAAAACTATGAAGAATGGAAAAAGAAAGAAGTAAATAAAAATAACGATTAAAAAATAAAGGAAAAAACTAAAAAAAGAATGAAATAAAGAAAAAGAATAAGATGCAAGCAACTAAAAAAGAAATAAAACTTACGACAAATGCCAAGAAAGAAAGAAAGAGGAGGAGGAAATATAAAAAACGAAAGAAAGAAAAGAAAAGATCCTTTTCTTTTCTTTCTTTCGTTTTTTAAATAAATTAAAATGATTCAAGTGAAATATGTGTCTCACATTTCTGTTGGCGTTGAGACTAATCTTCTACTTCTCCGTCTGTCTGATTGCTCCTTGCCCGAATGACGGATCTCCTAATCCGATTTACTAAATCATGGATGTGGTCAACTGATTGCTCACTCTTCTATATCTATACATGGTTTAAAAAAAAATACGTGATCACACGTTTACTTAAATTACGTGACCTGGTCACGTATATTGTTTTCATTGAAACAAGCATACTGGGTTCTATAGCCTTGGATGGCAAACTGTCTTGGAAAAGGAAAACTCTGAACACAAAACTGTATGTAGCCCTGAAGAAGCACGAACTATGCCACAAAGGAAAAGATCGTTCGCATTGACACAATGATCCCGACCACGGTCGACGACTAATACTGACGTGTACCTTTTGAACTTATTGAATATATAGAATATACAATGTTCTAAGCAGAAATGTTCTCATTATTCTATGAAGTGCTGAGATGAGTATCCTTACTCTTATGATTTTGAGTACTTCCTATAGGCCAGCGGCTTCATTTCCTCTTCCTAATGCTGTCGAATATCACAAAGATGAACTGCTTTCATTATTCGACAAAATGTTCACATTTGCATTTTCGTCTTTTTTTCTTCAATAATATATTTCAACTGATTGACTACCCAGCCTTCTTTTGGCAAAATCTTCCATGTTGTTATTTCTATTTTTGGTGGTGAAACGACCATCAGTGATCATTATATAAGATATGATCATTATATAAGATATGATCATTATATAAGATATGATCATTATATAAGAATCGACGTGTCCTCACAAATAACATTCGAAAATTATAATTTTTCAAAGAATCTTAAGAATGATATTAAAAATCCCAATTATGGAAATTGTAGCACACTTCCGTTGCACTAAAATGCAACAGAACATCTCTTCTGCACGGGCTCAGATTTAAAAAAAAAGTTATTCTTTTCGTTTTTCGTCCGATGACGGGAGGGAGACTATTGGGTTAGACGATCAAAATTCTCTACAGTGATGTATTTGGCAGCACCCCACTTTCTACAATTGACGGGCACAGATATAAGATACAAAGAGCAGATCTGGTATTTTTTATACTAATTTTCACTTAGCAGAAGGCTTGAGAACGACTCGAGGTCGAAGGTGAAAGGGTTACGATAAATGGGGGGGTGGGATATGAATGAAAGAGGAGGCCTTAGCAAATGAAGTGTATGAAGACGGGGGGCAGATAAATAACGATTGATCCTTGACTAGTTGATGAGGTTAAGATTGTAGTGTTCAGGAAAGCATCTGTGCACGAGTTTGTTCCATCAAGTACTAGTCCTTGGAGGAAAAGTTGTATAAGTAGAACTTTCTCTTTAGACACTGGAAATGAGGGTGATTTGACTCCGTGAAAAAGGTATGGTGTATCCTAGCTCTAAATAACTTCACTGAGAGAACTGAAGAATGGAGTTCTTAAGAATACTTACATTATTTACATTATTCGGACTGTTACCCTCATCTTCGTTGCCATATTCACAACGTTTCGGCCATTTTACACTCCGGCCTTCTTCAGGTAATTGGAATTTCGAACCGAACCCTTTATTTCCTCCACCGGAGTACATTGTTCTAGTTCCACGCACCATACCTCTTCCAGGTGTTCCTTTAACTCAACTTTCCAAGTTTTGGTTCACTACTGCTGTGGCCTGGTATTGAACTCTTTGGGCTTAGTCACTGGATCTAAAAACGTTGAGAATATGGCAACGAAAATGAGGGTAACAGTGCGGATAATGTAAATAATACCTCATCTCAGAGATACAGACAGATTCTTACGAATAGTTGCCATGGAAATAGCGACAAAATATTGATAGTCTTACCTGTTAATTATGGGAGAGTGGTTTCCCACGGAAGCACTCATATATTTTTTGCATTCTACATTTTACTAGTGACAAGACCATAACTAATATGACTGGTAATAAGAAAAAGCGCAGGAAGTGATGGATTACAAACCGTTCTTCCCTTAAGTATCCACAAATTTAGATATAGTTTTTGATGAAATTTATTTTGATCATTATTGTCTTGGGTATAGAAAACGACCTTTAGGGCAAATATTAAGAATCGAATAAAGAAACGAAAAACGGTTTCGGTCTAAGAAAGTGTAACAATGCAAGACCGTTAATCAGGATTAAAATTCACTAAGTCAGTACGAATTACCTCCCTTGATCTTCACTTGCTTAACTAGGAAGCGGCTGACGAGATATCTTACACTTAAGACTTTTTACTCTGGCAGTGGATTGGATATAGATTCCAAATGTCGTCATGAAGAAGTGAAAACGTTGCCTTGAAGTGATTGATGGGATTATTTACCAATCTATCTCTCAAAAATATTTTAGATTCATTGGGAAATAAATCTGCTGTAGAATAATGATTGGCATGCAATTGGATCTTCTCTGTTGGCGATTCCAGATTATCAAGTTTGTGGATATCGTGAATATTAAATCATGCCATATTGAAAAACACGTTTTTAATTCTATTGTAGGTATGTGAAACAGAAAATTCTTCTTTGCGTTTTGAGTTTATGCTGTTTATTATCAATTATTTTTTTCGAGTTGTATAAAGACTTTTGAATGTAAAAGCTGATCAACCTGTGACCATTTCTGAATGAATTTCTGAGATGAGGATTTATTTTTATTTATATTATTTGCAGTTGGACTAATATCATCATCTGAAACGTTGTATTAATTGTAACAAAGATGATAACATCAAACTGACTGTAAATAATGATCACACACACACACACACACACACACACACATATATATATATATATATATATATATATAGAGAGAGAGAGAGAGAGAGAGCAAGAGAGAGAGAGAGAGATATGAAAATTCCTTTTACTGAATATAGCCAAAGATAATCAATTAGCACATTAGTACAAAGCATTTTAGGTTTTATATTCCCGCACACACCATACTTGGAAGACTGTCAATTTAAATTTTTTTTTGATAAAATTTAGACAAAAATGTTTTGAACGCCGAAGTTATGGTCAACAATTGCTCCAAATTCAAAATCTTGATTTATCTCCCTTTATTGATATCTAAAATGATTTCCCAATTTCAAAATTTTCCTTTTAAAAATAATTTTCATGTTTATCAACTGAAGACAAAGAGATAAATTTTCTATGATGACAAGAGGAAAAAATAATCTCGGATAAACTATGATCAAAGAACATACTTGAACGAATTACCTCCCTTTATTATTATTATAATAATTATTATTATTTCCTTGGGTTTCTGTTGTATACACATTTCCTTTCGGTTCAGTCAGAAATGGTTTCATGGCGTTTTCTACTGATCATTTTTATAAAAAGAAAAAACAAAATATTACATAAGATCACACACATTTTGCATAGATAAAGCTCTTCGTAATATGTGAGTGTACAACTTTTTTTTAGTACAACTTTTTTGTATTTCATTAAGGTATGGACAACCTTCAATGTGTCTATCGGAACCTTTTCCAATCAATCCGTGGGCTCTAACTACAACTGGAATTATTAATGTCCTCATGTGCCACGTTCTTGAGATTTCCATTTCAAGATCCTTGCATTTTGATGGTTTTTGAAAATCTTCAGATACATTATTATTATTATTGCATATACTTTTCCAATTCCAATTTTTAGAATAGTTTTCACATATCAAATAAAGAAGACAAAATGTTACTGATGTTGAGATGACTGAAAAGTAATCTCGGATAAACTATCACTGAAGATGAGTTGGAGTGAGCAGAAACTTGATTTATCTGCCTTTCTTGTCATCACAAATGATGACACATTTTTTTTTTCAAATAGACTTCACATGTAGAACAAGTGAACAATCAGAAACATCTTTGGTCGTTTTAGGACTTATATTAGATAAATTATCAATGAAAAGCGATTAAATGTTTTAGTGATCAGAGATTTGATTTATGTTACCAGTGGAAATGATTTTTCAATTCCAAACACATTTTTAAAATCGTTGTCAAATGTCAAAAGAAGCAGACTAAATTTTAATGTCTTGAAAGATTTTTCACTTTTGTTTTTAAACAAATGCTTCTCTTCAACCCTGATGACATTTATTCTCTTCCAATTACACGTTTCTTTTTCTTCATTTTGAATTGTCAACTTGTCATTTTTTATTTCATTAAAAATATTCCCTAATTGCTGCCAGTCTAAAATTCTTTCCCTTGATTTGAAAAAAAACCTTCGTTATGAGACAAGTGTTTCTTGTCTGAGAATGTTTCAAAACAATCCTCGTCTGTCCAGCTACAACGGTTGAAACATTTTTTTGCATTTCGAGACAAGAGAGAAATTACCTCCGATACGCGATAACTTAAAAAAAAGTTTGAACTTGCATGAACAACAGACAATTATTTCTAATGATTTTATGAAAGATTGTATTGATTTTAAATTAATTTTAGAGATTTGCTTAAAGCAATAAGGTATTACAAAACCTACAAGAGTCTTGACTACACGTTCCTTACCTAAAAACTATTAGATTGATGCAAAATGTCCACCATGTTTAATGAAAAACATTTCTCTATACATGTGAGAATTTTACGTTTGTTGAAAACAGAGATTATCCATTATATCATGTCACTGTTCTTCTCACACCTTTTGTCCCTATCTTCTCATTTTATTCCTTATCCCTTCTAATCTTCGTTGTCTGTTTATTTTTTTATCTAAATTATGTGAGCCCGTGGAAATTACACGTGTGATAACAATTGAGATTATCC